CGGCGACGACGGCGCCGACGGCGACGACAGACGCAGATGATGGCTATATGTACAGACACATCTGTGTCTGTACATAAAAAATATATCCAAACACTAAACTTTAGTTGGGAGTAAATCTGAAAATTTTTTTAATTTTTTTTTTTTCAAATTCTTTGAGTGGTTGTTAAATGTGTGACCCAATACAGTTCTGTATGACCACTGACCACAACTGACTTCTCAGTAAAATATGTACTCCATACCTTTTTGGCTTCCTCTGTTTTCTTTAAAGCTTCTTGTGACTTGATTATTTGTGCTGCTTTTTCTGCAGAATTGCTTTTGTTTCCCTTTACAGCTGCTGGGTTGAAGACTGTCTTGGTGAGGGAACCACCAGTAGTGGAGTGAACAAAACCCTAAAATGGGAATATTCCAAACAAATGTTGCCAAATATAAACCTAACTCTATTCTATAAGAGTGACAGTAAAGCAAAGCAATAGTACTTGTGGGGGCTCACTTAACACACCAGTAAATGCTTTGTCTTGGACAATTAACCCTGTGGTGGTGACCAGTGTGTATTAATATCCAATGTGAGAGCAGCTACATTGCCTACCTTCTCAGAGTTGTCAACTGTGTTGTCAACTTTATGAGCTGAATGGTAGCCTAATCTATCTTTTACTGAGGGTGGCTGGGCTTCAGCTCCCTGTAAAAACAGGAGAGCTTCCATCATAACCGCTCTAATTATATCAACAATACACCTTCCTCACATCGATTTGCTGGGTTTACTTGCACAACAGAGTTTATAAAAAAAAATTACTTTCAACAGATCGCACTTTTCTGAGGACCATTTTTTTCAGGTGAAATGTATAGAAATATATATGAAAGTTGGGCATCCAAACTGACAAAGTTAGGGATCAGTGAAAGTTTACCACTTGTGAACATTTCCTAACCATTCACCAGTTAAAGTTTTCACCTATTTTTGTATATAGAAATCAATTTAAAAAATAAAAGATGCAATCTGAATTTTTTACAACCATATTATTTTTAAAAGCAAGATACATATCTTACCTGTTGTGCAGGTCCTTGCTGTGATTGCTGCTGCTGCTGTTCCTTGTTGTGCCAGAACACTTTGACAAACCTATTGTTGAAGACAGGTTCACTGCTCCTGTAGGCAGAATTAGCCTGATGATGGGAGGCAAATGATACCAGGGCAGCCTCTGGGTCTCCACCATAACACACCTGTGAGGAGAAGATCATGTCACATTGACAGTTTTATGTGGAATAACTTGAAAATAAAGGAACAAATAACCTCAAAAGACACATGGTGGATTTTCCTGCATAATAAGTTGAATACACAAGAGAACAATATTAACTGAGTAACAGCTGCTGCTCTTTCGTTAAATGACATAGAAAAATATTGATATGTCATGCCTTACTCATTAACTTATAATCTTGCATCTTTTTATACATTAATTGGATCAACAAATTTGAAATGTTTACTAACTTGTAAGTTTACTATTGTCCCAAACTTGCTGAAGTGTTCATTTATTTTTGCAATATTGTTGAGTTCTCGGGGTATTTTTCTCACTTCCAATGTTGCATTTTCAGAACTAGTATTGTAAGCCCCTCTTCCTCCTCCTCTTCGAGGGCCTAGAAACAAATCAAAGACAATGTCTTTGATAACTTTAATCAAATATAACACATTTACTTTTTTTTGCAAATAAGTTCAGAGCTGCTGTTATAATGACTATGAAAAAAAAGAGAGAAAATTATTCTATTATTGCAAACATTCTTAGTTTCAAACAGTCAAAATATTTAACACAGTCTATATTTAATAGCACTGCCAGTCATAATAATTATATTTTACTGGTAATAATTTGAAAACAATGATATGTTGAAATTCAATAGACAAAACAGTTGTGTGTTACCTAATCTGTTGAAATCAAAGTGTCCTCTCTTAGCTGGTGGCCCCCTGTGGAACTGCTGCTCTGGATTACTGTATTGGTTGGGTTGTTGTGGGGGAACCTGTTCCTGATATGGTGGGACATCCAATCCCCTTTTGCTGGCCACAACTCTTCTGTTGGGGGAATGTTGTAATTGCTGTAATTGCTGCTGCTGCTGCTGTTGCTGGGGAGGGTGATGTTGTTGTTGGCCTGGCAGCCCTTTATCTGAGAGAAAAAAAAACTGTTTTTAGTGACAACTCAGTGATATATATGCATACACTCGCGGCAAGCCTAACAAATTCAAAGTTACAAATTTTACAAACACAGCAATCTTTCATAGAAACACAATGCAAATGAGATATATCTACAAACATGCAAACTCCCACCTCTTCATCCATTCAACTCCAGCAGAAACCACAATTCTCATCACATCCAAGAAATCCATGTATGTTAACATAGACCCACCTTCCATACTTCCCACTGTGGGTACGCTGACTAGGTTAGGATTTGGCACTCTCTGCTGAGGCTGGTACTGTTGGGGCTTGGGTCCCCTAGGACCTCCACCCCAGGGCTGCTGACCTGGCCGACCCTCTGTTGGTTTGTAGGGCTCAGGTTCATACGGCTCTGAAATACATGGGAATAATCTTGTATATATAAAACTACTTCTAGCATACATTACAGTGTCATAAAGCCATTAGCAGCAAACAGTTGATGTGGCACACTCCTCAAAAGACTACCATGCAAGCATTTCAAGTATTCATTACATGCTCAAGAAATGTATTGACACAAGAACATAAAAATATTTTCAAATAATTTTTTTATATTTGAAAAACCTACATAAATCCATCACTGAATTGACAGTGGAATGTTCATCTTAAACAAAATCTATGCAAGTCTGGGCCCATAAGGAACTCAATACATGTGCTAAACTGTGTCATCCCTTTCTCCTGCAGAGTCTGCCACAGTCAGGGCAGCCACTGTGTGCTATGAAGGAATATTTCATCTAGCATTGCATGCAACAGAAATGACAACAAGGATGTCACACTGGTAATCTGAATGCATACTGTTAAATAGTTCAAAATATTATTCAGTCATTCTTTGCTAGTGGTGCACTGCAGGGGGGCCATAACAAGAATGTTATTTAAATTTAGATAGCCAACCAAATTCTCATGACATCGTTGTGTATGTTTCAATAACAAATCAAAGAAGCTGCATGAGCAAGGAGGATGTTGTTATAAAAGCAAAAAAATAGAAAAAGCAGAAAATATATCGAAATAACCCTCAAAATGGCGTCCTTTTTTGTGGAATTTTGACCCTACCTCTATTTAAGAACAGTTTGTTTAGGGTTTGAATGGATTATTGAAGCAGGAAATACATCTACTGCAAGAAGATATAATAAACAGAATGTGCAAATTGTTATTTAAATAAAAATTTATTTGAAGTCACTGAAAAATGATCACAAAATTAGCTTAACTTACGATACATGCGGTGTCCCACCCCGATGAAAATTTCATCTAATCCTATCTTTCCGTATTAAAACTGTTCAATCGTCCAAAGTAGTATGTCGGTTAGTTTGTGTCACGAAGTCCATGATAATATCAGTTTTCTTAAGAATTTCACATTTATTGCTCAGCAAGGTCGATTTTTCTTCACCGCGTCCCAATATAACGTTCGCAACGCTGAAACTTCAGAGATCGATTTTTATCAGACGACTTTAAAATGCCGCGTGAAAATTATACATCGATAGCGATCTTCTTCCATACTCACTAACTGATGACGTCTTACACACGAATGGCTTCTTTTGCACACTAAAAA